AATTCACACTTCAAAAGTTTTAGTTCCAAAACAGTAAATTGTAGTGAATTAATTAGGCAGTTTTTGTTAGTTTTTTTTGCTTTTATCCTAAATTTTGAATGTTGCCATTAGTATTTAAATTTGCTACAATTTGGTGTCAAGTTAAAGGGAAACGGTCATGCAGTTTCTTTGCACATTCCACTTCCCATTTCCTCTGAATATTTTATGTGTGTGTGTGTATATATGTGTGTATATATATATATATATATATATATATATATATATTTATTTCACACGCGCGCACACACGCAATTTTTGATACTGATGAAAGTCCCTGAGAGGAATGAAACGTTGATCTACATGTTGGAATAAAGGAAACCTTTTTCTATGGAAGACCGTGAGTGCAGACCATTTGTTTTATTACATTGTTTTATTACTTAATCTTGCAAATGTATAGGTAGCCATCAAAAATGAACTTTAATTGCCTGTCTCCCACATGATAGACTGTCGTCAATATCTGCAATACCAATTTCTATCATGTAGTAAGCCAACATGCATGCCGTCTTGGTACCTCCTCCAGGCCTGCTTCTTATTCTGTAGGCCGCACTCTGTTCAATTGATGAGCTGGCATTGAAGGAGGAGGGCTCATGGCGGCTCTGGGATGAATGAAGAGGAGCTGAGTATATTAGAAAAACATGAAGCTCCATTGGAACAGATAAAGGGGGAAACATAAACTTTTCTTTGTAAGCAATTTTTTTTTTTCTGACAGGCATACAGGTTCACTGTTACTATAGTAAAGTTTATATATTTTTCTTAATGTTTTGATGTTTAGTAACTAAACCACACAGCACATAAGATTGTGTTTGTAATGGTGCAAAGTATCAGCTGTTAGAAGTGAGGTTTGATTTATTTAACTCTCAATTTAAAAAACAAACTCCAAAATGTAGGCAAAAACATATACAAATCAAAGTGAAATTTAAGGCCAAAATTGATGAATTGGAAAAAATGTGTAAGTCTGCTACGCTTTCAGTTTAACTTCTTTGGCCTGAAATGTTAAATTATTTTTTGAATTCACTTTTAGATTTTTATTTTTTATTTTTGTGAATAAATCTGCTGATCAGGAAAACTGTTTGGTGAATAACTCTAGTGATATCTGCATTTAGTAAGGCAGGGCCCAAAAGTGTTGTCTGGCAATACATAGGATTCATGTGTCATTTAATCATGGTGATTTCTTTTCAGATCTTTGCAGTGATTGTTAGTTAATTTCACATGGAATTCTCATTAATTCCACATACTGCAAAGCCGATTGGTTTGCACCAATGAATCACCAAATCATTGTGGCTATGGTGCATATTATTGTTACTCCAAGCACCATAACCACATTGTGCAATCTGTATGTGGAACATTTAAATATGAGAAACTGCACATACAGCGTTTAACCCCTTTGCTGCTGGAGGTGTACTGCCACATTCAGCAGCGTCATTGCAGCGTTATTACCCAGCACAGAATGAAAATGCAGGACTTACTAATGTCTATTCTATGCAAAACTTCATGTATAGTGTGCCATTTATTGGCTGGGAGTAGTCAGCTGATGCTCTCAGCCTATGAATGGTGACTGGATTGGCATCTGACTTTTCTGCAGAAGCCCAAAGCTCATCACCAGTGCTGAAAGGAGCCTTGGTGTCCCTTGAGAACCCTGAAAAGACTGCAATCCATTGCCAAATGTTTTGCTAAATTACTTGGTAACTATCTCATTACCTCAATACAGAATATGCACTTGTCATGGTTGACTATATTACCTGTTGTGTTAAATTTATATATGTGTGTATTTATATATTATTTGAATATTGTTTTGTGGACCCATGACATATGTGAAAACGAGAGAAATCTCAATGTATCCATCCTGGTAAAGTATTCTTTAAATAAAATAAAATTATCTTGGGCTATAGTGGTAATGACGCTTGGAGTAACCCTTTCATAATTCATGATTGTTTAATAATGTATTAGGATCCATTGTGATCTAGACCCAATTTTAAAGAAAGAAAAGAGGTAAAGGAACAATATATAGTGTCCCATAACTTTTTTTTTTTTTTTGCCCCAAACAATTAGTGCTTAAAGGGACACTATAGTCACCTGAACAACTTTAGCTTAATGAAGCAGTTTTGGTGTATAGAACATGCCCCTGCAGCCTCACTGCTCAATCCTCTGCCATTTAGGAGTTAAATCCCTTTTGTTTATGAACCCTAGTCACACCTCCCTGCATGTTACTTGCACATCCTTCCATAAACACTTCCTGTAAAGAGAGCCCTATTTAGGCTTTCTTTATTGCTCTGTTTAAGATTTTCTTATCCCCTGCTATGTTAATAGCTTGCTAGTCCCTGCAAGAGCCTCCTGTATGTGATTTAAAGTTCAATTTAAAGATTGAGATACAACTATTTAAGGTAAATTACATCTGTTTTAAAGTGAAACCATTTTTTTTTTCTTTCATGAAGGCTCTGTCAATCATAGCCAGGGGAGGTGTGGCTAGGGCTGCATAAACAGAAACAAAGTGATTTAACTCCTAAATGACAGTGAATTGAGCAGTAAAATTGCAGGGGAAGGATCTATACACTAAAACTGCTTTGTTTAGCTAAAGTAATTTAGGTGACTATAGTGTTCCTTTTAAGGGACATGGGACATTGCACCCAGACAACTTCAATGAACTAAACTGGTCTGGGTGCCTACAGTGTCCCTTTAATCAAATGCTTCATAGGGAAGCATTGTGGACTTAATGTGCATGTACAATAATCGCTGCCATGATTCTCAAAGAGTAGCACTGAATTAAATGCTTCTCTATCCGGGTTATATCCTCCGGTGAGGATTGTTGGGAATTTAAAGTCCAAAGTAGCTGTACTGACAGGAAAGGTGACTTGGAGAGTTTTTTCCAGTTGGGTTACTTTGGTCTAAAATGTTAAAATCACTTTGAATCCCCAACAATTCTCACTTTACTGAAAAACCCAGCATGAAAAGCTCTGATTGAACATTTGACGTCCTCGTGGAGGATGCTGAATGTCAAATACAGTCTGCCTTAGTTATCACTGTGGATGAACCATCTAGTGCAGGGGTAGGCAACCTTTTAGCAGCACTGTGCCGATATAGGATTGTGAAGTCCCGTAGCGTGCCGGTCCTATTTTTTTTTTTTTTTTTTAAATTGAGGTGTGTATGCTGCCGTATTCTGATTATTTTTACTGTAATTGTTTTGTATTGTTGTATTTGTGCGTATATGAGCTATTTATATTGTATATATTCATTTAGTATTTTGTGGTATCGTGTATGATGCATATGAATGGGGGCTGTGTATAGGGGCTGTTTGTGGAATTGTGTGTGTGTGTGTGGATGGATGGATATGACACATTGTGTGTTTGGTAGTGTGTGGGGGCTGTTTGGGGTATTGCATATGAGAGGCTGCATGTGGGTTTGTGTGCATGTATGTGGATTGTTACTGGTGTTGCGTTTGTGCGGATTGTATGTATGTTTGTGTGTGGGCTGTCGTATTATTTGTATGAGGGGAGGGTTATTCTGCATTTCTGTGTATATCTAGCAGTGTGGGTGACTTCCCTGGGTTCCTGTGGGGACCAGGCCAGCCAAGTACAGGTCAAGGACTGGAGCTGCAATAGCGAGCTGCTCTACTACTGTGTGGATTCCCATTCACAAGTGCTGGAATGAAGTGCTCTGAGATCACTTCCTTTATGCTGCAATGCATAAATTGAGGATTGTCCTTCACTACCTCTTCGTATTAGCAGATATCTGAAGTTTTACTGGGACTCCTGATAGGCCAGAGCCTGTTTGGCTCTAACAGCCTTGAGTGCCGTGCATGGCACTAGTGCCGTAGGTTGCCTGATCTAGTGGCTGTCAGGGCTACAGCAACTAAAGATGTGTTAAACCCCAAAATGTAAACCTCTCTGAATCTGCAATGTTTTACATCGTGGAAGCATTCTGGTCACTGCAACAAGACCATTTCATTGAGATATAAAGGTTTTTATAGTAGTACTTTAATATAATGGCAAATCTCTCATGTATCCCTATTTGGGCCCAAATCCCTTTGTCCCTCTATTCTATCCGGGTAATAATATGTCTTTTCTAGGAGCTCCATATTGTTGGTGTGTCTGAGTGTAAAACAGAGCTCCACATCAATAATACTCACAGTAATGTGTATTTTTAAAATACAATAACTATGTTTAGAAATCCGTTTGTGTTAATAAGATACATTTTTCTTGTTCTAAATGTAATTTTTGTTGTAAACTGTTTTAATAGGTCATCTAAGATTTCTCAGAACAGACACCCCCCACATACAGCTCTAAAATTAAAGTGCCCTTCTTTGTCCATTTGAAATGTTGGGAGCAGTGGCCGCTGGTGACTTTTCAAGTTGTTGGGGCACCGGACTGGTCACGTCTATGTGATTCTCTAACTAAATGTCTATTTAAGATGCTACTAACTCCAAAATATGTGGACAATCCCATATATAGGGAATGATGCACATAGACCTATTCCTATTAATGAGTAAAATAAATTGGCTATTTTGAGGCTAAACTCAAATTACAAATGTAATACAGAATTTACCCACAAGATGCCGCCAAGGGATAACTTTACATTTTTATTTAGTTATATATTTTTTTTTCTTCAGTAAAATATGTACCGTATTTTCCGGCGTATAAGACGACCCCCAACTTTTCCAGTTAAAATATTGAGTTTGGGATATACTCGCCGTATAAGACTACCCCTCTTCCAAAGCACACCAAATAAAAATTATCCATGATGTACAGTGAGCAGACAGAGCTACACAGCAAGACATTAAATAATGATAATCTGAAATAGCATTTAAAGCCCAGGTATGTGCCAGGCTGTTTGGGCATATAATCCATGCCTGCTGGTCTAGCACACAGAAGGCTAATTGTATATATATTATTTTTACTCCCCCCCTCCATTCTTTTTACGCCCCCTCCCCCCCAATCCTCCCTACGTTCTTCTCACCTCCTGCGCGTTACAGGAGATTCACTTACCTGTTCCCGGCCCGACTGAAAGGAAGTGAGCACTCAGTGTGCACTTCCTTTCAGTCCGGCCGGGAACAGGTAACTGAATCTCCTGTACCGCGCGGTACCCTGCCGAACTAACAGGACGAAGAGGAGCTCGGCCACCCACTTTGCACAGGGAAGGGGAGGTGAGAAGAGAGGCAGTGCGGAAGCCGTCTGAGCGCTCTCTATAGAGCGCTCAGGCGGCTGCAGCGTTAGAAGGGCCGGCGATGGGGGCGCAGGGCACCCCCGGCAGCCATATAGACCCCATACCCGGCATATAAGACGACCCCCAACTTTGGAGAAGATTTTCCAGGGTTAAAAAGTCATCTTATACGCCAGAAAATACAGTACATTACAAAGGATTATATAGGACAAAATTAACATATATTGAATTCAGATTTTTAGATATAATTTTTTTTTTTCCTGAGGGGGAATTATAATGAAAATTAAAAATAACTTTAAAATAAATTTAAGCAGCTTGCCCAGTGACCAGGCTTCTTTAGTGACAGGCACCCACTGTTAGACTGGTGCCTGTAACTATGTGGCATTTTAGGGGTGCCAGGGCTAGCAGAGCCTAATAAAATCATAATAAAGAATAACCCAAAGCACACAAGATTATACTTGAACATAAAAAGATTTTTATTAATCAGGATTTGATAAAAAAAATTGTACATTTAAAGTGCAAACAGTAATCTAGACATGCAAACTGTAAATTACATACCTACATACACATCAGATATAAAGAAAGGTGCTCAGTAATGAAACCCCCAAACCCATAATATTATAGGCATACTGACCCAGAGCAGAGGGGATCTCAAAATCATGTGGGTCTAATAAAATCACCTGAAATCACTCCAGCCAGCTCCATGCAATCTAACAATCATAGCCTAGTAGGCTCTACTTTGCAAAAGCAAAGGAGAAAAACAAGGGGAACTGCAGTACTAATGTTTAAAGGGATAGGGATTTTTTTTAATTGTTGCAAAAAATTGGTGGGGTGCTACCCCATGGACAGGCCTTCACTGATTATGAGGTATGTAAGAAAAAAATGTGTGCCGCAGTAAGGGTGTATAGTAAATTTCACATGTGTTAAAGAGTGTTACTATAACCACCATGTGTTACTATAACCACCATGACTATTTCAGAGGCGAGAGGCCTGATCTTTTTCTCCCTACCCGCTCCCACCCACTGTGTGCTCCTTTCCACCTCCATCCATTGCCCTCATTTTCTTTTATTTTTTTTACATTTTTTTTTCATTAAAACAACCCTCCTGCTCCACTTCTTCCCTCAAATCCCCCTTGCCTGTGATTGGACCACGAGAAGCCCCCTCCAAAGTGGTTAAAACTGTGCTGGTTTGTAGGCCAGTGATGGGCAATTCTACCAGACAGCCACTAGAGGGACTTCCAGGTGCTTAGACAATTTTTGCTATGCGTGAGGACTTTCAGTGTCACCGGAATTCCAACAGGAAAGCATTCATTTAATACTTTCCTATGGGGAAATCATAATGCAAGCGTGGCCATTGCTGCGCATGCACATTAGGTCTTCCCCACTGGCTGATGTCGGCAGGGGAGCAGCATGGGCGGAGACTGGCCGAGGGACATCGGCCCTGGATTTAGGTAAGTTACCGGGTGGTGGGGGGGTGCAAGGGAAGGTGGCACTGTAGGAACTAGTGATGTCGCGAACCGTTCGCGAACTTCCCGCGAACGGTTCGTGGCGAGCTCCGGTCAGCTGACACATCCCGGCCAATCTCCAGCAGACCCTCCCACCTCCTGGACAGCATCCATGTTGAAGGCAGCTTCAACATGGATGCTGTCCAGGAGGTGGGAGGGAGGGTCTGTTGGAGATTGGCCGGGATGTGTCAGCTGACCGGAGCTCGCCACGAACCGTTCGCGGGAAGTTCGCAAACGGTTCGCGACATCACTAGTTCCTACAGTGCCACCTTCCCTTGCATCCCCCCACCACCCAGTAACTTACCTAAATCCAGGGCCGATGTCCCTCGGCCAGTCTTCGCGACATCTCTAGTAGGAACCTATATTGCCAGGAAAACTACTTTGTTTTCCTGGCACTATAGAATCTCTTTAATCAAGGGCATTTGATTAGCAGCACCTGTCTGCTACGTAGCTTCTTAATTCCTATGGAAGCGGTAAGTGTGTATTTAAACTTTCACACAAGGCTTCTCCATGATGGATTTATTTTTGTTAAAGGAACACTATAGGATCAGGAATGCAAACATTTATTCCTGACCCTATTATGTTAAAATCACCATCAAGCTTCCCTTACCCTCCTAAATTTAGAAACAGCTTGTCTTTATTTCAGTCTGCTGATGTTGGCTCTGCCCCTGATCTGTCTGCTTGGCTGGCCTAATCAGAAGTGGTGTTTGAGCCAATCACAATGCTTTCACATAAGACTACATTGGATTGGTGAGCTTGTCAAGGAGACCGATCAGAGGCAGTGACAGACATAGAGAAGTCTTGAAGAGGTTGTCAGAGATATGAGTACAGAGTATTGACGCAGGTCTTTGGCAGAGCATAGAGACCTGAATGAGACATACTTGCTTATTCGTGAGAATAAATGGGTAGAAGCAGTGTTGAGATGTAGAGATTTGTAAACAAGTACCATCGTTTTATATTGATCCCTATGTCTTATGGGAAGCCAGTGTAGACACTGACATAGGGGGAGGCATGGGAAATCCAGGTGGACAGTAGATGAGTTTCGTTGCAGCATTCATTATTGATGAACCTCACGGCCACATTCGTTTTCGCCACATGGCTCATCAGGTGATCCTTGTGGCAAAACGCGTGCTTCAGGGGCTCTTCATGTTCCCTGTTCATTGCATTTTGGTTATCAGACTTTCCTGATTAGTCTACCTAGGAGGGACGACTATTGTGTTATTCTGTGGGTGTTTAAGCTACCATTGTGTCATGATTTGCGGTGGACCGTTTAGCTTATTATAGTTGTGTGGATATGAGCTGCCCTAAAAGGCATATTTTCCGGTTGTAATTTATCTGCTATTTTGATAGACAGGGCTATCCTTGCTGATTTACTCTAAGAATAGCCAGTTCTCTTAGCTAGATGTTGTGACTTACAATTTCGTGTACGAAGATCTCCATATTGTTCCTTTCTTCTATAATGTAATTCCACTTTACCCACAGCTATTAAACCGACGTGCTACTTAATAACGTTTTAGGTTGTTTGAAAACTGTGACTATTCTTTTATCTACTTGATCCAGTATGTTGCATTTTTTTGTTTCTAGAGCAATTGTTACAATATTCCAGCTTTACATCTGTAGGCACCAACCTTCATTGTGTAGGTGTGCAAACCTTTAGGTGCTTTGCAGAGCTACACACATTCTAGTAACATTACACTTCGTTATAGGATTTCTTTTGAAACCAATATTTAGGTGATATCCACTTTTGATTGTTTTGTAAATCTTTCTTTAGTAACGTGTTTTAACACGGCACTAGCGGTGTGGATGTCAATTCAAATTTATTAGTTTACATTTATTCTCCTGGTTATGAACTGTTAACTTTATCAAGGTATTTCCACAGCTGCATTTTATTAGAGACCTATTTATATGATTTCTTTATAAAGCAATACCTAGCCGATAATACCTTTCTGTGGAAATTATACATAATTAGTAGCAACCTGGCATCAGTATGGTAATTTATTTGTACTAATTAGGAGTATGATTTTTTCCTCCCATTCACTTACTGCATCCTCATGTATTGATCTGTATAAGGTTATGTACACTGTTGCACACTTTATATATACCATTATTAGGACCAATTTTGAAATCACCACTTGGGTAATATTCGACCACAGCGGTATCTAACACTGGGGGCTGGAATTTACCTGTGACTGCTCCTGTCAATTATGGTCCACCTGTAGCTTATATATAATTAGCCAGGTATAAGACACTACCTCTCCCTGAGGGCAGGGTCAGTTCATTGACGCTGGTTGGTGTTTGTGTTCCAGTATTCTTCAGTTGGCTCCTGACCTTGGCTTTCTATTCGTGTATCCTGACCTCTGGCATCCTCTGACTTTTTAGCTTACTCTTGACGATTCTCCTGCTTGTGTCCTAACCTGTACTGCGACTTGGAGCAATATCCTGCACAGCCCCCGTGCACAGACTCACAGGCCAGGTGAATTCTTACCTGACCACCTTGGCCTGTGTCTATTTGCAAGGGTGAGCAACATATCTGCGCTACAGACTGCCAACTCAGGTAAGATCCTGACAAAGCGTAATAAGGATATGAAATTCTCTGCCTGAAGAGGTGGTTTTATCAGAGTCCATACAGATGTTTAAACTGCAATTGGATAAATACTTGCAAAAACATAATATACAGGGATATAATTGCTAATTATTGGGGTGATAGCTGCTTGATCCAAGGAGACATCTGACTGCTATTTTGGGGTCAAAAAGGAATTTTTTCCTAGTTTGTTGCAAAATTGGAAGCGCTTCAGACTAGGTTTTTTGACTTCTTTTGGATCAACAGCAAAAACATATGTGAGGAGGGTTGAACTTGATGGACCCAAGTCTCTTTTCAGCTATGTAACTATCTACTAAGCGGCTGCAAGATGCAGCAGCAGCACTTATCGGATTGGAATTTCATTCATTCTAATCAAATTTCGAAACGACCTAAAAGTACCGAATGTCAACCTTACATGAATGAACAAACTTTTCTAATTCTGTTATGTCAAAATTCGGTAGTTTTGCCAGCGTCCTGTCTAACTGACAGGACATTCGGGAATAGTGAAAGTAGACATCACAAGATCAAGGAGGAAAGGGTGAGTATTGTAGGAAATTTTCTCTGACCCACAGGAAGTGGGCCGGAGCGGGTCAAGTGTATGAAAAATACATAAGGCCAAGTAGTTCCTACTTTGTCTTATGTTTTAAAGAAAACTAGAAACAGAAAATATATCCTGAGAGAGGGAAAGAAGAGGAAGCGAATAGGGAAAGGTAAGTTCGGCATGACTGTGCCACTTTAAGGCAGCAGTGAGACAATCACGCTTTACAAGATATTGAAGAATATTACAATATTTTTAATTTATATCCCCTTTAGCTTCAGTGAAATGC